TTTTTAAGGCAGTTTAGTTGATGGTGGATAATGAATAGCAAACCTGGTGGTTATGTGTTCGATTCCCACACGAACCATTTTTTTTTTTTTTTGGCCCGACGTCGGTAAACGTTTGAAATTTACATCCTCTAACCAACGTCGGCCCAACTGTTGTCACCAACCTCCACTAACGTTTACTGACGTCGGGCCAACAAAGTACTGTGACGTTGGGACAACGTCTATAATCACATCCTAATATTTACAACCTCTAACCAACGTCGGACCAACGGCTGTAACCAACCTCCATTCCAAACGTTTACCGACGTGGGGCCAACAGCGTTCTGTGACGTTGAGACAAGGTCTAGTAATCACATTTAATATTTACAACCTCTGGCCAACGTCGGCCCAACGGTGGTAACCAGCGTCTATTTCAAACGTTTACCGACGTCGGGCCAACAAAGTACTATGACGTTGCGACAACGTCTTTAATTACATCTAATATTACAACCTCTAACCAACGTCGGCCCAACGGTTGTAACCAACCTTCACTAACGTTTACCGACGTCGGGCCAACAAAGTACTCTAACGTTGCGACAACGTCTGTTATCACATCCTAATATTTACAACCTCTAACCAACGTCGGGCCAACGGTTTTAACCAACCACCATTTCAAACGTTTACCGACGTCGGGCCAACAACGTACTGTGACGTTGAGGCAACGTCTACAATCACATCTAATATTTACAACCTCTAGCCAACGTTGTGCCAACGGTAGTACCGTACCCAGCCATCTTTTTAGTAGTTTGCCGACGTCGGGCCAGTAACAAATCGTGACGTGGTACCAACGTCCGTAGTCAGACTGAATATTTACGACGGCTTACCAACGTTGGGACGACATCGGAAAATCGACAAATATATTCATACGTTGGACCAACGTGAAATTCCAATGTTGGTTTGACGTTACCTCTCCGACCAAATTTTGCAACCAAACACCAACGTCGTACCAACGTCAGATATCCGACCACGACGCTTACTGACGCTTGCAAACGTTGACCAACGTTGGGCCAAAGTCGCTTTGCTAGCTGGGTAACATCCTGAACAGTCGCATCGGCTAGATCGGTACCGTATCTGGTGGCTGGATATCTGATGGTTTATCCACAAGGCAAAACATGTCATCAGCAGCCACTGGATCTGATGGTTATCTGATGGTTGTTCGTCCACAAGAACATCAGGGAATTTGTCATCCTGACCAGCATCCACCGGATCGGTATCTAGTGGGAGGATATCTGATGTTTCATCCACAAGGCTATTGAAGGTCTCCTGAGTATCACTTCAGGTGGGTCTTAAAGTCGGTTTTCCACTAGGCGAATTTATTCGCGCGAATCGAAAGTGTCGTTCATGCGCATGCTCATTCACATTTCTATCGGAGTTTTCGCTTCAGCAAAATTGGTAGTTTTTGCGAAGCGAAAAATGTGCGCAACCAATCAGAGCTCAGGAAGCGAACCGACGCCTTCGATTCGGGAGAATAAATTCGCCTAGTGGAAAACCGACTTTAGTAGGTAGTTTTCGCCGCACGACGTTAACCTTTATGTTAACGATGACGTCATAATTTATTCATCTTGCGTTGCGGAGTACGTTAATTTCAGAATTTTAACTGCTCGACGTACGTTAGTTACGGGTTTGCGCATGAGTATTTGGATTTGTTTACAAAAGGAGCGGAGCTATCGCGTTGCATGTTGAAAACTGTTATTAAGGTTAACGTCGTGCGGCGAAAAATACCTATTATCTAAAAATGTAAAACGTTAAGAATTTAATTATTAATATAATTCCTCATATTTATAAGTCAAAAAGTGATTTGTCCAGTTTTATTTAAATAATTTATATGTATATTTTCATTTATTTGAGTGAGTACAGTAGCAAAGAAATTATTTTTTTATGTTAGATACTTTATTTGAATTGATTTTTTTAAATTTTTTAATTTATTTATTTGGTATAAAAAAACTCACATCAATTCCAGAGGGCAAACATGTGAGTTTACATAAATATGAAACATTGTACAAAATATCAAAAATTGCACAAAATATCAAACATTGCACAAAATAGATTTCATGTATGATCATTGCAAAAATTTATATGACAGTATATACATCGTAGGCACAGATTGGCATTTTTAGAGTCTTAAATGTAGAAGAGTGTTTCACATGCACTATCATATTCATCAGTGTTCTCTGTGGCTAATCTATCTGCCAGTTTTGCTGCTGCAGCTGTGGCTCGGTCTCTGACATAGGTATCGTATGCTTGGTTTTCCTCTCCCCAGTCCGTAAAATAATAATCTGGTTCATCCCAACAACAATCAAAATCGGGGGTGCGCACTCCCCCCCCCCACCCGTTTCGCTTTCTTTTGTCTTTGTTTCTTGTGGCTTCAAAAGCGACTTGAGACGGTTTTCTGTGGAAGGCGCTATATAAATATACGACCATTGACCATTGACCATCGCCATTTCAAGGTTAGCATCTGACACTGATATCTCGTTTGATGCCTGACAATAGGAAACAAATTTAGAACAATGAAATGCATATTAAACATTAAATTCAAAAATAGAATGTGAAAGTGTTAAAAATTAAATACCGACCAATATTATTTTAGGGTAATTACAAAACAATACTATTATTAAATGATATATCACAACTATCAGAAAATGTAGTAATATTATTAATCCCTCTTTTGAAGGAATTTTATTTAATAGAAAAATAAAATATATCGTATCGTATTATAATAATTTAAAATGTTAGCAAATATCAATTATATGAAAATAATGTTATTTATA